ATCATGTTGCTGCTGATCTGTTTCATGTTGCTGCTGATCTGTTTCATGTTGCTGCTGATCTGTTTCATGTTGCTGTGTTCATGCGTGCTCATCTGCTCACACAGACTCATATTTGTGCTGCTGTTAGGCATATTTTTTATGCTATTACTGCTTGGTGTATATTTAGTTGATGTTTTTCTTAGTTCATATCTTAGATGTTATCACTGTTTTTCTTTTACATTTTATTGTTGGATGTAATTGCGACCGTGTGTACATCATTTCATCCCATCACATGTACCACCTGACGTGCGAATGACAATAAAGAATCTCTGAAGCTGAATGTACTTGTATATGGTCATGGCCGTTTTTTTGGTTGCGACATTTCTCGTGCCTAAATGGAAGTTGGTACCTCTCCTATTTTTGATGTCACAACATGTACGGACAGAGAGACAATAAGCCAGCACCAAAAAGATTTAACTTGCTCAGTTTTACAGATATTGAGTTAAATTTTAAATGTTGTAGTAGATGAGAGTTATTACCAACATAGGCACTCTTGAGAGCTAACACATCTTATCATATCACATGAGCTGGAACAAAAAATTGTTTTCAAGGTTTGACCAAAACAGCTACAACCCTGTCATTTCTCAACATAAGATCTTAGGTAAAAATAAATCTGGCATGAAGGCGATGAGCAACAAGCATTTCTTTAAGAAACGCTGGGCCTTTAATAGTTTATGTATCAAGTATCACATACTCAGCTCATATATCCTCATGTCACAGAATGGATTGAAGTGACAGTATTTCAGCATTTTAACCACCTTGTGGAATGCCACTGCAAGTCATTTTGATTATTCAAGCAACTAGTTTTACCTTGTAACATTAAGACCAGTTTAAGAAAAAAGGATATTTAACTGCAGCCACAGACACTTCAAAACTTTTGCGACTCATATCACGCTCGGTTAGTTATGCCGCATAGCAGCACACATCATGCAGCAAGCGTATGGCCTTGGAGCAGCATGTGCACATGCAGCTGCAACACTGAGAGGTGTCTGAAATGCAATGCAGTGGAATGTACAAGGCTTCACATCCCCAACCATGTTATACATCCGTGAATTCTGTTAATAACATCTATGAAAATCCATAAGTTATATTTGATATAGATGGTAAAATAAAAGCTTACTTTTTCAGATTCACCAAAGTGGGTGGGATGTGGACCTAAAAGAACAAGAAACACCATCACAAGAAAAAACAAGAACAACAACATAAACGTTAGACAACATCTAGTGTAAATTTCACACAATAAAAACTAAAAATGTCTCTTATGTTATTTACTTGAGCTTATTTTTGCAGAGGAATGACAAGTCTGGCACACAGCAGTACCCTAACTGAGGGGATGTATAAGAAATCTCACTGCGCTTTTCCTTTTCCTCTACTTATTTTCATCTACTCATCTGCAGTCCCTCAAATTAAACAGTAGATGGAGGTCACAACAATAAATAGCAGCTCAACACAGGATGTAGGTGACACTGTGACAGTTTCCCATTTGTCCTAAGATCTCCACAGAGAAGATGGCTCTTGCAGGATAAATTGTTGCCAAGAGCCCTGCTGTTAGCATGAATGAAAGATATGTCACAGCATAAAACATTTGAATGCAGGGATGCTTGAGGTTTGTTAAATTTTGACCAGGTATTTCTGCTCAACAGCAGGAATGCAGAGATGTTTTTTTTTCTCTGGAGAAACTCTAGAGATGCTGCTATGCAGTAAGGAATGATGAAGCTGTACAAGAAAAGCAATCAGTCTAAATGTCACATATTAATTGGCCTTTTTTTGGTAAGTGACACAGCATCATGTGCAAGACTAAGTATCCAGTATTAGATAAAATCGATCATGATTTACTGCTGCTCGCTGAGCTTACCTGCACCATCCATGTGTATGTGTGCAAATGTGATTTTGTGCACACGTGCATATATAAAATGCCTTACCTGTAGGGTGGGGCCTTTCAGTGGGACTTGTCCTGCTGTGCTTTGCACAAGTGCCTCTTCCCTGCAACAGTGCCTGCAATGGGCTGTGTTCCCTGGGTGGGGGGACACAACGAAGCCCCTTGCCACAGCTCAGGGTGTACACGCCACATGGCTCCCCTTGGGTCAGGACTGTCATGCTACCGGCAACATTATGGTCCCTCGGGGGTCGACCTGCCCCCAGAGGATTCTTGCAGGAGGGACAGACCTTGAAGTGACCCCAGCGGTTTGCCCCGGCCCATGTTCCACAGGGGGCGATCAGCAATAAAATAAATGCTGCAAAGTTAGAAAGGATAGGCATTCTCAAATTCTGCTTCTTGCCCTTCCCTGTTAGTTAAATGTGGCCAAGGCTATTTCTAGATGTATAGCAGTCTCTGTTTTCTCTTCTCTCGTTTCCTTCGTCTTCTTCTTGCTTCTGTATGGCAGTTTTTCCTGATGTTTTGCCGGATGACTCTCCTGCAGTGCCAGAGGATACGAATGAAGATGGGAAGAGACACGGCAAAGCCCCGGCTTTTAAAGATCTGAAAGGCGGTGATCGAGAGGGAGTGAGAGCAAGAGAGAGAGCACAGTTATGACACCTTCAGGGGCTGGGACTCAGAGACACACACAAAGATAGGGAGGTGGGAGAGAGTGGGGAGAGCAAGTGCGTGTGTGAGAAGAGAATTATGTTCTTTTCAGAATATATCAATAGCCCTCCCTTTATGTCATGTTCAGCTTTTTGTACATTCTTTCCAATTTCTCAGACGTACCCTGAAGTTTTGCAGCAGTAACAAATATGAATGTTTTATTTATGCACTTCTATCAGGATGGCAAACACACAAGTGAAATTTTCTTTCTCATCCCTTTCAATCCTTTGTAAGCGTGTGAGGTGATCTAACAAGGTTAAGTCATGCCCTCTGAGCAGATTCTTGTTGAAACTTTTCGTCTTTTATCCAAAAGACTTCTTCAGTCTGAGGAGCAGAAACAAACGGCCTAGCAAAAAAAAAAAAAAAAAGTCCATGCTCAATAATCCAGGTATACAATCCAACTATTTTCAGTCAGGTCATCTGGACAGTTTCTTTTTTTTTTTCTGACACGTTTCACCTTCCATCCGGAAGGTTTCTTCAGTCAAGGAAACTCACAACACAAAACTGATTCTTCCCCAAACAGCTTACTCCAAAGTGGAACAAACCAGTTATTTTGGCAACTAACGTTTCAGAAAAAAAAGAAAGAAAGAAACTGTCCAGATGACCTGACTGAAAATTGTTGGAAACAGCATAGCACATTCTCATTGTGGACTAGGGCTTTAACAGACTACTCGAGTAATCAACAAGTCAATTCCTAGGACATCTATCAAAATTTTTAATTTCACATCGAGTATTCGCAGTTACGTCATTACGTCACCATTACGTCATTGCGTCACATGTCACGTGATCTGCACCGGGCTACTAGTAGAAGCTACCAAATGGATTCCTCCCAGCAGATGGACTGAGCAGAGCAGGCCCAGTCTTGACAAACAGGTAGAAATGCATCAGTAGTCTGGAAATATTTCACTAAAGATGAATCTTCTGGTTCAACTACCGTAAGGAAACAGAAAATGAATCAACTTCCTGACTGTTTGGAGCTCGTTGCGAACCGGTGTTATACCATATTCTGTGACCACCGTATATTGTGACCGTAGGGGGCGGTGCTGCATGCACTGTTGCAGGCCACAGAATATGGTGTAACACCGGGTCCAATCAACCGAACCAGAACCAGTTTCCTCTGACCTTGTTTCACAAACAAAAAGCAAAGAATATTAATCTCTAAACCTGTAAAAAACCTATAAACATATTAATCTCTCAAACTAAACCTAATGCGCACCGCTGCGGGCGGTGGTCGTCCGCCCCGCTGTTTTTAGTTTAGTTTTTGACGTGCTGCACGTTTCTTCACTTTTGCAGCTAATAGTTTAGTTTTTCCTGTGACTTATTTGCAGTATGATAAATCATAGGAGCATAATATACTCTCCCAATGTTTTGTTGGTCTTTTTTTGTAAATAATAAATGACGTTAATTTGCGGTTTTATTTTTTATTTATTTATATTTTCATTTCTAGATCTTATGACGTCATCAACTACTCGAGTTCTACTCGAGTTTTATTATGTTAATGTCAAGTTTAAAACTTATGTAGTCGTTCAACCCCTATTGTGGACCAACCAGTTTGCTGGTTATCACTCAGCCCTCTGTGAATATCAAGTGGACATCAGGGCACTAACGATCAATTGTTATGTCATTGTTATGCTGATGACACACAGTTATATTTGTCCATGAAACCCAATGAATCCAATCAGCTACTTGGACTACAAGCATGTCTTAAAGAATTTTTCAATCTTTCGCCCTCTTTGGATGGCATTAATCTGTCCTCAAACTCTAATGTTAAAAATATTAGTGTTATTTTTGATCAGGCATGTCTTTTAGCCCCCAGATTAAAAATGTTACTAGAAGCAGAATGGGAGGAAGATCTTTCAGTTCTCAGGCTCCTCTCTTGTGGAACCAACTTCCAGTTTCTGTCTGTGAGGCTGACACATTGTCCAGTTTTGAGACTGGGCTTAAGACTTTCCTTTTTGATAAATCTTATAATTAGTGTCAGCTTGTTATGTTGCCTTAAGTTTAGACTACTAGAGGACAAACCGACCCAATTTCCTTAAATGAATTGTTAAAACTGAATAGTTTTCATTTGATATTATTTCTATCTTAACGTGATTCCTGACCTGCCATTGTGTATCTATTCCTACCAAACCCAGCCGGTCGAAGCAGATGGACGCTTGTCCTGATCCTGGTTCTGCTAAAGGTTTCTTCCTCATGAGGGAGTTTTTCCTTTCCACTGTCACCTTCATGCTTGTTTCAAGATGAAAGTTCTGCAATGGACTTAAATTCAAATCCGTCTGCTCCTAAGATAAATAAAGATAAATTATTATTTTTAAATATGAATGTTTCTGTTCAGTGCCCTGAGATGACTTCTGCTGTGACTTGGCACTGTACAGTATAAATAAACTGAACTGAATTTAATAATTATGACAAAAAATGGAGGACTTACTTGCAATTTCCTTCACATAGATGAACATGTGGTAGTTCCTTTTAATCACTTTTGTATTCAGTGTCTCATGGGGTCGATCGCCAGTTTTTAGCCATCTTTTATATTTTTCCAGACTCAGTTTATCTATCCATCCATCCATTATCTTCCACTTGTTCCCAAGTCAAGTCGCGGGGGCAGAAGCTTGAGAAAGGAGATCCAGACATCTCTTTCCAAAGCCATCTGTTCTGAGAGGATTCCAAGGTGTTCCCAGGCCAGCCAAGAAATATAGTCTCTCCAGCATGTCTTGAGTCTTTCGCGGGATCACCTCCCAGCTGGACATGCATGAAACACCTACCTAAGGATGTGTCCAGGGGGCATCCAATGCCTGAACCACCTCAACTGGCTCCTCTTGATGTGGAGGAGCAGCGGTTCTATTACGATTCTCTCTCTGATAACTCAACTTCTCAACATTTCTCAAAGAGAAAGTCAAGCCACCTTGTGGAGAAAACTAATTTTAACTGCTTGTGTACTTGATCTTGTTCTTTCTGCCACTACCTAAAGTTTATGACCATAGGTGAAAGTTGGACAGTAGTCCAACTGGTAAACAGAGAACTTCTCCTTTCAGCTCAGCTCCCTCTTCACCACAACGAACTGGCACAGAGTCCACAATACTGACGAAGCCTTACAGATCATTCTGTCGATCTCTCGCTCCATTCTTCCCTCAGTCATAAACAAAACCCAGAGATGCTTGAATTCCACTTGAGGCAGAACCTCACTTCCAACCAGTCTTTGAAGAAAGTTACAATCTAAAACCCTCACCAAAAAAACATTGCATCCTGGCACCTCTGACATCCCTCAGTTGAGGCAGAACAGGGCCATGACAGAGGTAAGCAAAAGCACCTGTAAGAAATGGTGCAAGGAATGGTTTTTGACTTCTGATGTTGTATTGTCAATATTTATGCATAGCAATTTGAATAGTTATAAGATCTTGGCAGTCATCATACACAAGCAGTCTTCATTTCATTAGAAAAAGTAAAAAAGAGCCAAAACAAAAGAAACTACACAGGCAGATGACGAGCCACACAAACTGACAACATCCAGGGTCTTGTGTAAAAGTGGCAGAATGATAGCCAAAATTAGCAAAATAGTAGCTATAAACAATACACTGAGTAAAAGCTCAATTAAGCAAAATGGTAAATAAAAGCATTAAAATAATAGCTAAAAACAGGAGAGCAGTTGTTAAAAGCTAAAAGGTGCCAAAAAGTAGCTAAAATGAGCTAAATAGATTCTAAACTAAAAGTTATGGAACAGTTGTTAAAATGAGTAAAATAGAAGCCAGTACTTAGCAATAGTAGCTAAACAATGCATAACTGTAACTAAAAATTAAAAACAACAGAATGGTAGGGTAAAGCTAATTTTTTTTTATAAGAGATTTTAAAAAGATTAATGGTTTTGAAGAAGGGCAGCACGGTGGCGCAACTGGCAGAGCTGCTGCCTCTCAGTGAGCAGGTCCTTGGTTCAAATCCCGGTCCAGGGGCCTTTCTGGGTGGAGTTTGCATGTTCTCTCCGTGCACGCCTGGGTTTTCTCCGGGTACTCCGGTTTCCTCCCACAGACCAAAAACATGCATGTTAGGCTGATTGGTAACTCTAAATTGTCCCTAGGTGTGAGTGAGAGAGTGAATGGTTGTTTGTCTCGTTTGTCTCTATGTGTCCCTGTGATGGACTGGAGACCCGTCCAGGGTGTCCCCCGCCCCTCGCACAGTGATTGCTGGACATGGGCACCAGCGACCCCCGTGACCCAAAATGGAAGAAGTGGGTAAAAGATAATGGATGGATGGATGGTTTTGAAGAAATAAATATCTCAATATCTTTCTAAAGGAAATTTTAATTTTAAATTAAGGTAAATATTTTGAAAAGTACAACAATCACAAAATTCTAGTTATTGCACACTATTTTCAATCAAGCTGACTGGCGTTTTCATACATAAATGGTTCAAATAACACTAAGTATGCAGAAGGAGAGCTTGCATCATACAATTTCCACTTTAAAGACAACAGAACATTTTGCTGACTCACAATTCACACAATAACAGAGTAAATGTAATCAGCTAAATCACAAAAACGGTTAAATCATGTCATCTGGACAAATTTATTTAAGACATTTTGTCTTTCATTCAAAAGACTTCATATGTCTGTGATCAGCTAAAATTTATGTTTAAAAATCAGAATGGACAACCTTTAAAAGCAAGTTGGTATAAAATACAAAGCA